AGCACGTGCATATATGTGCCTGTATCTGAAAGACAGGCTCTCTGTCAAATTCCATTCCATATTGAGAATTTATCATACAAACAGTTGGCCTGGCTTTACAGAGTTACTCCAAGTGGGTGAAGCATCATTAAATCAGTGGTGTGACACAGGTGTAAAACTGGAACAAAGCCATGTTTGGGGCAGGTTTTAATTAGTATTTTATAGTTTTCACATTTAAAAGCATTTCTGCCTGAAGCATCTCTCATGTTGCAGCACTTCAGTTAAGCTACAGCATGAATTTAATTAGAATAACAACTTAAGAGGGCTCATGGTGAGTATCTGGCATTTGATCCAATCCAGAACCAGCATTTTTCAGATCTGGTATGGAGGCATGGCTGGATCCAGAAGCATGGTTCTAGTATAATGAGTAGCATAATATTTCTCTCTTCAAAAAGTTCACTGTAAGCATCTATGTAGAACACAAATGGCCAAAATCAGCTAATAATTACCTCACATAATAGATGGGGTTAAATTAATTTTCTTCATGAAAGAAAAGTCAGTCATATGTGGAATAACATTATTAAACTCTAAGACATTTGGTTCTCCATATTAACTTCACTAATTCACATAAGCTGTGAAGGGGACATCTATTCTTTCATAAATTTACATGGGAAACACTATTGAGTGATAACACTAGTGAGAGAGTCAAGTGAAAAACTCTGTAGGAGCATAGATCCCTATGTATCATAGGAATTGTCATACTCCAGTCTAGCAGACATGGTTCATCCAATCTAGTCATATCTCTGATAGTCACCAGCTCCAGATCCGTCAAAACTCAGCATATAAATGTCCCATTTCTTTTTGAACTATTGAATATGAAGCCACACCTGCATAGGTTTTAAAGATGTTCCTCTTGAAATCAATAAGATGTTCTGCTTAAAAATTGGTGGTACAATATGGCCCTTTGATATTAACAAACTCTGACAGCCAGTGATAAAGCCAGCAGATTTGTAGAATAGCACCTTTATCGTCCATCCATCCACAGAGCTGGAATTATTTGCCTCCCTATCTTCAGCTGAATATTACTAGGTCATATTACTTTGATTTCATTTTACTTTAGGAAAATAAAACAGAAAATAAGTTTTGCTGATTCTTTGTCATGTCTCTGCCAAAAGACTATTTTTATTGTTTACGAGTAGCACCCATAATTTTCTGAAGCCTTTCCAAGGACAGAAAAAGTCACAATCCTTGCTCTATATAAAGTTGCAGTAAAATTATATATGGATTTCTTTCCACAAAGTACTGACCACTTGAGCTTCTATCATGTGAGCATATTTTTAATTTTAGGAGCATGAGTGGTTCTGTTGAATTCCACGTAGTTTAAAAGTTGAATGCATTCTTATTTGCCTTTCTGGATCAGGGCCTGTATTACTCAACACTTTACAGGACTGAGTCGGTATGGCTTTTAAATTGTACAGTTGGCATCAAGTTATTCATGTGACTCGCTTTAATTTTCTTAATTTCATTTTAACCTTAAAGATAAATCTATTGAGTTTTCCACCAAACTAGTTTATATTGAAACTCCCTCTAACTACATTTTTGAAGAATTAGAATTCTGAGTTTTTAAAAATCATCAATCCCAAATGTCTAATTCATTTTTTATCATGTTATGGTCTCTATGACTCATCTGTTTAGTTCAGTACTTTATCATGGCAAATCTTGTGCTTACAATTGCTCTTCAATATAGTCACCCAAGTCACAACCATATCATACAAGTGGTGAAAATTACCTCATGCTTTTACCCTTCTTGCTCCATATAGTTGGTTTCTACGTGTCTTGCTTTCCTAAATTAATATTTCATTTACATAGGTCAGTTTTGATGTCATACTTTGAAAACTGTTATGTATTCATTCAATTACTTCATTTTCTGGTCCCTTAATGGACCACAGGCACTGAAGTTAATACTGAACTATTTTCCATTATCCTTAGATAGCATGTAGTGCCAATAGGTGCTGAAACCATGTCATGGTGTTACCATAAAACCTCTTCTCATTTCATAACTTGAAGTCTTTCTTCACTATAAAACAACATAGATTTGCTAATTTTCTGAAACCCATTTCCCAGCCATGTAATGTACATATAACATTTCTCTAGTTGATCCATCACATTATTGGAGGTCTCGTGGCCTATATAAGTTCAAAACATTTCACATTTCCAATTTCAAGTAATTTTTTCCCTTAGCTAAGGAACTGGCCATAATTGATAAAGGACTGAATGAAAGAGATGAGTTACAGATACAATATGGAATTTTTGAAGAATACAAAATGTAAACAGGAATACCAGATAGATGTGGAAAAGGTGTGAGGCTTTGAAAGATTATTGTACAGCAGGTGTAAGTGGGGAAAGTGTCAGGATACAGTAAAGGAACTGCAAAAGAAATTATAGGAATAATTCCAGAAATAATGAAAAGCAAAGGATGGTTTGATGAAGACTGGAGGAAGGTGATTGAGGATTGACATGCAGTCAAGATTTCATGCCTTCAAAATTGGAATCAGTTTCATGTTGAAGAATATAGACAAAAAAAATACTTGCATAGCCTGGTGGAGAAAATAGATTCAAGATTCAAGGCGATTTAGCTAACTTGTATCACTACAGATCCCTGCAAATGGAACAGGTAGACTATAATGATTGCTGTGTGCTTCCCAAGCAGCAGCTTCCCCTCTGCTTTTAAATTGGAAGATATGTACATTTGTCTATTTTGTCTGATGACCTGTCTGTATTATAGGAGAAAAGATACAGTCTTGAAAGCAAAGGCAAATGGGACCTAACAGAGGGGGAACAAAACAAGCATATGTTTGTAAATTGCTGTTTGGATCTTGTCCAGGTTTAGACCAAACAATTGACAGTCATTAGGGCTAGGGACAAATATTCAAAAAGCCTGACCCTGAATTGATTCAATCTTTGCAGTTTAGTCTAATCTGGCAAGGCTAAATCATTTTTGTAACTGGACAGACATCCCAGAAATGCAGGCATATGCCTGCAGTGGCTCAGGCTAGAAGCTGGGGGGTGCTATAGCAGCCCTCCTTATGCTTCCACAGGGCTGAGCTGAGGAGGGGCATGGCCAGACCCCAGCAGAACACTCTGATTATTCACCCCCCTCCCAAGCAGCCCAGCAGGGAATGTTTATCACCCCTAACTCAGCGTTTATCAATCCATTAAGAAAACAAAGTCTCTCTCCATTAACTAATGGAGGTCTTCTTAAACAGCTCCTCCAAAGAAGGACATTATGCTACCTGTTGATTAGCTCCAATCAGCAAGGGGTCTGAGACAGACATTGCATAAACCAGTTTGAGGCAAATCAGTTAAGTCTCATACTACATTCAACCAGATTTATTTCAAACCACTTTCTGCCATTTTCAAACTGGTCTATGTGCACTGAACATCTGTTCTGTTACAAGTTTAAACCAGTTTCTGATCACTTAAACAGGTTTATGTGTAATGTCTGTCCCTAGACTGGCAGATTGTTTAAATATCTAGAAAACATTAGTTACTACTAACAGTTTGGCAAGGGAAAAATTAAGTCATCTATGCAGAGCAAAAATCCTTGTTTGCATGTTACTTTTCTCTTCAGAATTTTTAGTTCCAGACAACTAATAAGAAAGACCAAATTGCAGATACATGAGACAAGTAAAAGGACTAGTATTTCATTTGGATGTAAGGCCTGGACTTTTACTGAGAAGGCATAAAACCAGCTAAATACCTTCAAAGATAAAGTAGTGAGAGAAACATTTAGGCTTGTTAAAGAGATGGCGCATGGAGAAGAAGCTTTAAGAAACTGGGGAACTTTTGTGAAGAACAAATAATAGTAAATATGACATTGAAAAGACCTCATGGTTAAGGCATTTAGCTAGGGGATAGAAAAACAACCAAGTAGGCATTCTCATTTTCATGGTGCTTGACCTTTTGGATGACCAAAAAGAATATGGAAGGATAATACTGAGTAAGACCTCAGTACTCTTAATGTGAATTGATGGCAATACAAAAAACAAATCCTTGAAATAAGAGGCAAATTTTGAAAGCAGCAAAAACCTCTAGTTTCTGTAGACATAAGGACATAAGTTAGTTATATTATGGTAACTTTTATAACTATAGCCTAGATTTTATTACCAATTTTATTTAATAACTGTTGCTTCATCAACAGTCAATTAAATCTAGTATCTAAATTGAACAGAAGATTACAGGGGGGAGGGAAGCTTGTAAAAGACTTTATTGCAGGTAAGACTTATCTGGTCATCTTAAGAATTGAGATCAAATTTGCAAGTAGTATCCTACTCAAATTTCTTTTCTAGGCTGCTGTGCCCTGGTTCCTTGAAAGCAGCCTATTATTTTCTACCCATATATTATAGTGTCCTGTTTGCTGGCAATATGCCCCCTGTTTAAGGTTACTTTCATTAATTAACCATAAGTTAATTTCTTTGCAAGCAAAATCTCTGATCTAATTATGTTTTCCTTAAAGCTGAAAGCCTACACTTTTTCTCTTTTACTTTGATAGCATTGTAAAAAGTGTATTCTTTTACTTAACGAGCCCTGTCTCTGTGGGTTAACTTAGTAGCCTTTGAAAGGGTGACATTTTAAGAAATCATAAAACAATATTCACATTTTTAGCAGTTTTTAAATCCAGTGGCTCATCTTGCAATAGAATGTGTAACATGTCCTTAAGATAACCTGTTTTCCATTGATTGCATCATAGAGGTAAAGGAAAGAATTATTCCCACAGACTGCTTACTCTCATAGCTAAGCAGACATCATATCAGTAATGATTTGACAAAAAACTTTCACCTGCCCTGTGACACACTTGGATATTCTTTCTCTGGAATGTTTGCATATTTTAGGTAATAGCTTTTGCATTTTTTATAACTGTTGTTGGTGTACTGCTTTATGATTCTTTAGAGCAGCTACATGTTTAAAAGTTGCCATGACTCCTATGTAGTACACTTGTGCTAAGTGATGTTTCTTTTCAGGATAGGTGGATCTAGCCATTTTTTGGATGATAATACCCATTGCCACTACAAAGGAACAACAGTCAAACTTGCAGTGTTGAATATGGTATGAATTTAATGTTTTTTTAGATTGCACTTTTATCTCCCTGATGCTGTCTGAGGAATTTTGAGACATATGCATCCCTGTCTTTCTGTCTTTCAGAGTTAACTTCACTTGAGCAATAAAATCTGGGTGCTTTTTAGAGCGTTAAATCTGGCGAGTTGAAATTTGTCATGATGTCTTTCAAGACTGCCAGGTGTATGTCACAGAGTGGGAAAGTTACTCCACAGGTAACTCAAATCTCTGTGAGCAAGCTTAGTACATGAAGAAGCCATTTGTATCCCACTGAGTCCCGTAATGTTGAGCACATTGCTGAGATTTACACAAATCTGATCTAAGCAGTTGATGAGATGGCTGCAGCAGGGTAGCAGTGGTATGACCTGAATCACTGTTTCTTATGCCTCAGAGACCATGGCCATGGCATTAGGCTTTTTCTTTCTTGGGTCACAATTCACTATAAAAGGTGCATTTTTTTCAAGTAGCCAAGTGGAAACCAGTTAGGTGGAAGAGCTCAGGAAAGGAAACCATGTGCCTCTTGGGCATGAAGTAGAAGGAGCAGGGCAAAGGTAATATATTGGTAAAGGCCCTGAATGTCTGTTTTTGTATCTAACTTTATGACTAACCCCAGTGCTTTTAAGCAGAAGTATTGTCAGTGGTATTGATTAGATGATCTGATAATCTAGGAAGCTCCCTGATGTGTTAAATTTCCTTTTTTCACATGGCTGTAAGTGTGGAAGAAGTGTGTGCGATTGTAGAAGCAACTCTCAGTGGATAGCACCAAAGTATGACTCCCTGCAATTAAATTGTGCCATGCATGCCAATTCCAGTTAGTCATTTGCCAGTCATTTTTAACCCTTTCCAGTGATTTATCAGCATCTGCACTTCAGCTAAGCCTTTAGGATGCTTGAGGCTTCCAAGTCTTCATAATTGCACATCTTTTGCACTGGATTATACATGTGTATTCCCTTTAAAGGTATTTTGTTGGGAATAAAATTCCACAATGTCTACTGAATATCCTTGAAATCTCTGAAAGTGTTAAGTTCAGTTTATATTTATCTATGAAACTAAAGATGGATGAGCAAAATTTGGAGCCCTTATAACAGCAAAATGTAAAAAATTGTCTCATCTATGATTTTAAGAAACTGGAAAATGTAGTATAAAATGTTATACTCTGCTTAGAATGTGTTATGTTATATCTAATAACATAAGTATAAAAAATAATATTGTTGCTATACTATGAATTACTTTCAAGCACTGTTCAGCAGCAGAACTGAGTGCCATTCCTGCCATTTGGCCTATGTTTTAAGTACTTGCTTTCTTAATACTCCCATAACAGTGGGTCCTTGTGTTGATATGCACAAGTGAAAGAGTCTGTACCAACCAAATAGAGAGATTTCATTTAGAATTTTCCCATCTTGAGGACAGCAATGCACAAAGCCTTTATGCTTTTCCTTTCACCATTTGTTCTCTTCAAATAATTAAAATTTCTTTTGTACATATGTGGGCAACTTTTCCTTGAGAGTGACTAAGCCTTTGTATTTTTTCCTGACTTCTTTGTCAAAGGCTGGCAAATTTCAGATTTGTAATTCTCTGCTGGAGCTAGAAGTAGTTAAGGCTTCCCTGTCAAAGGGATTCAGATGTCATCACTGTATTGTCTAACCCACCAAATTATACAGGCATGTTATCCTGTCTAGACTACAGCCTCTACCATTGCTACCACTGGTGGTGTTATAACACTGGTGAAATATGGGGTCCAGATTCACCAATGGGGTCACAGCCTACAAGGGATGTAAGATTAGGCCAAAAATTCTGCTCAGTGGAATTTAAATACATTACAGTAACAGAGGGGTTAATGACTATATTCGTCTCTCAGCAAATGCAAAATTAAGTATTAGAATAGTCTAGATGAAAAATTTATTGAAAACTGCCACAGTATTATGGAAAACAAAATGATTTCACTGAGTAGTAGTTCTGTTACCATAATCCTAATGATAAACTCTGTTACACTAATAATAGAAGAAAAACTAATTGCAGTGAGGACAGGACAAATCTTTTTTAATCCTCGTTGTCATCTCAACTAAATTCAAACCCATTTGTATTAACCTTTGCTGACAGAGTCACATGATGGACATAATTTCTTGTAATTTACCAGCACTAGATCTAACCTTTCTTCATCAAATATTCATAAAGGCATGATTCTCAATGATTTTCTGTCTCTTTTCATATTTACAGCTTGTTGTCTTCTTCCTTTTTACTGTAATTTGAACACAATTGAAGTCAGATGGAATTAAAGTTAAATTGCGTTAGCAGCTTAGGTACCTGAAAGGAAAGAATAACTAATAGAAATTTCTTGCAAGTACACATCAGTCCGTAGTCTGATGAAGCTGCACTAGACAACCAACATCCTTCCCTCAAGAGAAAAAAAATGAACTGCAGAGATTTAAGTGCTCTAAATTTTTGCTTTTCTTATAAAATTGTGTGTGTGTGTGTATGTATGTATTTATATATAGAGATATACACACATACACACACACACACACACACACACACACAAACAATAGCAAAAGCAAAGTAAGCAGTTTTAGTGAATTCCTAGTGTTTGAGAAATGTAATGAAAAATTGTGGGATTGATTCTCCACTTGCTTAGATAGATATAAATAAAGAATAACACCAGTGAAGTCCATTCAGTTATGCCAGTGTAAAACTCATGTGAAAGAATCAAGCCTATATCCTTAACTAGCCAAGAAGTGCAATTCTCAAGTACAGCTGCACTCTCACTGCTTCAACAGTGTTTTACAAAAAAGATTTTTTTAGTATGACAACCTGATGCATTTATGTAACAAATATAAGTATAACAATGGATAAACAGCAATTAATATTTTAAAGAAATATTTTAACAAAACCTTTTTTCTATCCAAAATACTCTAAGCTCAGTATGCTGGATCTTAGAATCTGTAAATTCCTGGTTAGAGGGTTTTGCTCTTGAGTCCAAGAACACAGAGATGGCCAGATTTGGGGTCAGGAAAGAATTTTTCCACTACTAAGATTGGCATGGACTGTACACAGTTTCCCTTCCCCTGTAGCATAGACATCGTCTTCTTTCTAGAATTCTTTCAACATATGTTTCAACATATGTTCTCTGCATTGCAGTGGCAGGACATTCACAGCTCCCTTTTCTCCCCTGTTTTTGCCTGTGGCATGTTCTGGATATTTCTGGTATAGTACCTTGCTACTGTGTGTGAGGATTTGAAGTAGCAATTTTAGGGATACACTGCGTAAATTGTGGCCTGTCAATACAGGGGACTGGACTCAATTGCCCAGAAAGTAGGGCTGTGCAAAACAGCTATGTTTCGTTTCGGTTTTGGATTCGGCCATTTCAGAGGAAAGTGATTCGTTTTGGTGTTTCAGATCACTGTTCTGTTTTGTTTCAGATCACTGTTCTGTTTTGATTCATCTGAATCAGTTTTGGAGTTTCAATGCTGTTTTGGCACTGATTCAGGCAGCTGCAGGTTCTCCTGCAGTTCCTCCAGCTGTGCCTGCCTCTCCCCAGGTGGGGGGAGCCACGGGAGAAGCCCCCCTGGTTGCCTTGCCTGGCCCCAGCCTCCTAGCACTTCAAAAAAAAAAAGAAAGAAAGAAAGCCCTGCACTCACCAGCTGCAGCATCAGTGATTGGGGCTTCTGAGAGCTCATGGCAGAGCCCCCCCATGCAGCGCGGGACAGTGGGGGAAAGCAGGGATTGCCCCCCACCCTGCTTGGCACTCGTGTGGCAGCTGTCTCATCGCATGGGTGCAGCGTGGCTCAGCAGAGCACTGAATGCTGTCTGGGAGCTGGAGCCACTGTACCGAGCTGCGCTGCACCCATGAGATGCAACAGCTGCTATGCAGGTGCCAGTTGGGGGGGAGGGGGCGATCCGCACTGTGTGTGGGGCTCTGCCACAAGCCCTCAGGGGGGCCACTGCTGCAGCTGGTGAGTGCAGGGCTTTTTTTTTTTTGAAGTGCTGGGAGGCTGGGACTGGGCAGGGCAACCATGGGGGCTTCTCCTGTGGCTCCCCCTACCCAGGCAGAGGCAGACACAGCTGGAGGAGCTGCAGGAGATGCCCCCCATAGCT